AGTAGTAGCAGTAGTAGTAGTAGTAGTAGTAGTAGTGGTAGTGGTGGTGGTGGTAGTAGTAGTAGTAGTAGTAGTAGTAGTAGTAGTAGTAGTAGTAGTAGTAGTAGTAGTAGTAGTAGTAGTCGTATTAGTAGTAGTAGTAGTAGTAGTAGTAGTAGTAGTCGTAGTAGTAGTAGTCGTAGTAGTAGTAGTAGTAGTAGTAGTAGTAGTAGTTGCTGTTGTTGTCATTGTTGTTGGTGTTGTCGTTGTTGTTGTTGTCGTTGTCGTTGTCGTTGTCGTTGTGGTTGTTGTTGTTGTTGTGGTTTGCGTTCTGGTGCAGGTCTGTCTGTCTGTGGCCCGTCGGCAAGGGAGGCGCTGTTTTTCTGTTCCTGTCACTGCTTACGTGATACCCGAGACGATGGTTGATGCAAGGGGTCCGCTGTTAGCCTGCCAGGAATGGTATACCGTGCACCTTTCTGGGATCAAGGGTGTATGTCCCAGGACGGCTGGCAAGATCATACCCCAAGGGTATAAATTGCCTGGCCGCCCTTGGACAGGCGCTCCCGTTTCCAGAAGCCAATGATGTTATATTGTTTTTCGCCCGCTGGAATGAAGGGTACCCAGTGGCCTGTTGTGCCATGATCGTCGGATTCTGATTCAAGAGGCTTACGGCATTCCGCTGACCCCCAGAAGAAGGATAGTCCACGGGTGAGGCCTTCTGGGGTTTCTTGGGGACCCTCTGGGGATCTCTTTTGGGTCTCTTGGGGGCCTCTTCAGGCCTCTTAGCAGTGCCTGCTGGCGGTCTAGAGGGTCATCTTAGGGCGGAGGGCTCGCAATGTCAGTTCGAGTTGCCTCTCTTGGACCCCTCTTGGGGCCCTGTTGAGGCTCTCTTGGGCTGTCTTGGGCGCCTCTTGAGCCATCTTGGGACCCTCTTCGGCCGTCATGGGGCCCACTTCGGGGCTTCTTGGGGGCTTCTTGGGGGCTTCTTGGGTCGTCCTGGAGTGATTTTGGGGGTCTCTTGAGGCGTCTGACGCTGCTAAGACAAAAAGCGAATGCTTAATATACACGTTTCCCCGAAGGATTTTGACGATTCTTGCTTATTGGGGCCCTCTCGGGGGCCCTCTTGGGGCGTCTTTGAGGGCCGTGGGCAGTCTTGAGGCCATCTTGGTCGTCTTTGAGGACTCCTCGGCGTGGTAGAGGCCAGCTTGAGCCAGCTTAGATGGCACCTTGAGCATCCAGGATGCCACGGAGAGTAGATTTGGAGGCTCCGGAGGCCCCCAGGGTGCGTCGGCGAGCTCGTCACCCCCCTCCCAGGAACCCCCTGGCTCCCCCGGCTCCCCCCGGGCCTTCCCCTTCAATCGGATTTCAGACCCCAGTGGAGGGGCAAAGGGGGAGGGGGTCAGCCAATCATTTCACACGCCTTTGCACCCTTGGCAATCGGGGGTCGGTGGATTCGATGCCGCCCAAGCCGCACTGCTGCCGTTCCCATTCCATGTTGCAGCCGTGCTAAGTTCTGAAGCGTTCGCATGGATACTACGTACCCCAAGCTCCAATGTGACCCTTCTGGGAGTGACGAGTGTGCTCGTCGGGACCACCTGTTTTTTTCTGAACGAATTACACCGAGTTCTGTGTTTGTTCAAGTAGGCAGTTGTTCCTCCAGCTAGGCTTTGCCGAAGGGGTTCTTACTTGCTTAAACATTGGTGCCTCGGGGGGCTACTTTTCCCGATCCTCGGAGGTTCCCCGGGTTCCCCCCCGGTTCCTCGGGTTCCTCGGGTTCCCCGGGTTCCTCGGGTTCCCCGGATTCCTCGGGTTCCCCAGGTTCTTCGAGTTCTTCGGGTTCCTCGGGTTCCTCGGGTTCCTCGGGTTCCTCGGGTTCCTCGGGTTCCTCGGGGCCCCCGGGTTCCTCGGGTTGCGAAGCAATGCTGCAAGCAATGCCGCAATCAATGCCCCAAGCAATGCCCCAAGCAATGCCCCAAGCAATGTCCCAAGCAATGCCGCAAGCAATGCCGCAAGCAATGCCGCAAGCAGTGCCCCAAGCAATGCCCCAGGCAATGCCAAGCACTGCCCCCATGAATTAGGGAGCTTTCCCCCAATTGGGGTCGCGCCGGGTTCATTTGTTTTACAAGAACAGGTGGGTGGCGGACCTGCGCCGACCGGCACACCCCGGGTGGTCTTGGTGCCTCGGTTTGTTGGTCTCGATTATTTCTTGCTTCGCTCAGTATCCTTCGTCTTGCTTCCTTGGTTCCTTGGTTCCTTGGTCTTGGTTCCTTGGTTCCTTGGTCTCGGATCCTTAGTTCCTTGGTCTTGTTCCTTGGTTCTTTGGTTTTGGTTCCTTGGTCTTGGTTCCTTGGCCCTCGCTTCTTCGGTTCCTCAGTCTTCGTCTTGATTTCTTGCTGTCTTTCTCGGGTTCCTCGGTCTTGGTCTCTTGGTTCCTTGGTTTCTTGGTTAATTGGTTCCTTGTATGTTTGGTTCCTCTGTCTTGGTTCCTTCGGTGCTAGGTCTTGGTTCCTTGGTTCTTTGGGCTTGGTTCCTTGCTTCATCGGTCTTGGTTCTTTGGTTCCTTTGCTCTTAGTGCATGCTGCCTTCTTCGGGTGCCTTGGTTTCTTGCTTGCTTGGTTTCTTGGTTCCTTGATCCTGGTTCCTTGGTTGTTTGGTATTGGTTGCTTGGTTCCTCGATTACTTGCTGCGTTGGCTCGGGTTCTTGGTCTTGGTTCCTTGATTCCTTGCTCCATTGCCGCGCAACACCAAGCAATGCCATACAATTCCAAGCAATGCCACGGAATGCCAAGCAATGCCAAGCAATGCCACGCAATACCAAGCAATGCAGAACAACGCAAGGCAATACCCAAGAAATGCCAAGCAGTGCCAAGCAATGCCAAGCGACGCCAAGCAATGCCAAGTAACACCAACCAACATGCCTAGCAATGACAAGCAATGCCAAGCAATGCCACGCAATGCGCCCATGTAGTAGGAAGCTTTCCCCTAATTGGAGTCGCGCTGGGCTCGTTTCTTTTTTGACACCCGTACGTAGCGGCAGGGCCTGGCGTATTGTCCTCGTCCTCGTCGTCGTTGGTCTTCTCCTCCTCCTCCTCCTCCTCTTCCTACCCCTCTGCAACGATGATGCAACTCCCGCTGCCCCCAGGCAGAACCCACCAGAACGCCACCAAATGCTTCAGACCGACACACAATCCAGAAACTGTCCATCTTCGATCCTCGATCGTCGTCACCGACGACGACGAAAGTTGCATGGTTCTTGTAGCCTCCTCCCCCTCTCTGCAGGTGACCTCCTGGACTCCGCGCTCGTCCAATGGAGGTCTCCAAGAGGTATCCCTTGTGGTTCTCGGAGGTCCTGGACGGCTCTCGCAGATTTGTTCCAGTGTGGGGGCATGCCTGGGTGCTCCTCTGGACTTCGGAGAAACTCTCTGGCACATTTTCCGACCCTCCAGTGTTTTCTTTGTTCTCGCGGGTCTTGTGGTGAAGGCAGGTGGCCTGATCAGAGCTGGCATCGAGCCAAGTGCGCATCTTGGCAGAACATTCGGCGGCGTAGATCCCTGCCCGCAGGTTTCTCTCAAAGGATATATACTACTTGTTACCAACAACCTCGCAACTACCATCACCCGTATCACCAGTCCTGTGATTGTTTTCTTCCGCACGACCACCGTTACCATCGCTGCGCCTGTCACCGTCGTCCATCGCCTACATGACTCGCCCGTCATATCTGCTTCTCTCGTCATTCGCCTTTCAATTGCCAGCACCGTCGCCATGCCATTGCTTCCAACGTCCCTCTTCTCTTCACCATTTCGTCTTGCGTTTCTTCATCGACGCTGACACGACAATATCGGCATGCAGCTTTGGCCAACGTTGTACACAGGGCAACTATCGTGCGTAGCGCTGACACAGTGATTGCTGCCGCCGTTACCTTCGCATTGCAGCAGCTTGTCGGCTAGACCTTCAGGCTGGCGCTGCCGGCCGCTGACTGCTAAAGTACCCCCCGGGGTTGGAGCTGTCGCCCCTGGCTGATCTGCAAAGTCAGATCGATGAGCGGCCTTGGGTGGGCCGCGTTCCGAGGAGGACGATGGTGGTGGCCTCAGGCGGCCCCGATCGGCCCATCTCGGGCGAGCCTGGACCGGTCGGCCAGAAAAGCTCCCAGGGTGCACCTCTGCGGTTTTCTATTTCCCACATGCATGGTGTTCATCTTCTGAGTAGGACCTCTCCGCGTTATTCCTTCTCCTCCCGCCTTCCTCCCTCACTCACACTCAGACCCACTCACACTCAGAACCACTCATACTCGACTTCGTCATGTTCAAACACTTGTACACACAGACCATCATTCACACTCGGACTCACTGATACTCAGACTCACTCGTACTTGGACTGCCCATACTCAGACCCATCGTTCTCAGCTTCGTGTCGTACTCAGACCAATACACACAGCACTCACATTTACCGTCAGAGACCATACACACCCAGACTCAGTCACACTCAGACCCCATTATATTCAAGCTCACTCACATGCAGAGCCCCATAATCATCGCGATGTAGCAGGTATAGCACTTGGGCACCTCACTGGGGAAGCTGACCAGGAGTACATCACGGGCCCATTCGCGTCCTGATTGTTATCGCTCTCGAGTAGAACGCTTCATGTATTAGTACTCTAGGCTCCTCTCCTTTCAGAGCCCAGTGGTCATCGCAATGCAGCAGGCGAAGCATCTGGGTACCGAGACCAGGACCTACATGGGCCTTCTGCAACGTGGTGAGTTCCCAACGTAGGGGTCGTACTGGGCTATCCGCAATTTGGTGGATTCCCATCGTATGGGGGTTTTAAGGCGCCGCTGGTGCCTGGGCCCTCATGCCCAGCATTCCGCAACGTGGTGGCTCCTAAATCTATGGCAATGCGTGCATGTGAATCTTTTCTGAGGGTGTCTTGGGAGAGGCGGCCGCGCGTGCTTCGCTCGCCCGCTACCCATTGTGCTCAAGCTGTTACTGGCGCGAGCGCCGGGCGACAGCATCCCCCGAACCGCATGGCCTGGCTGGTTGGGGGACGTTACGCCGATTGGATCATCGGCATTGCCTCGCAGACCATCGTGGGCTGGTCGACCAAGTGCCCCGCGTGCCCGCCGCCGCCGGCGTGCCCGGCCTGCCCGCAGGGCGCCCCCGTGCACGTGTACCCGCCCGCGGCGTGCCCAGCCGCGGCCGCCGGCCCCGAGCCGGCCGCCTCGCCCGCCTCGGCCAGCGCCGAGCCTCGGGGCGACGGCTGGAGCTCAGGCTGGCTCGCCCGCGTGCTCCTGGTGGTGAAGTTGCTGGCGTTCGCGGGTCATTTGGTGAGGTTCTTTACCGCGATCGTCTTGCAGCTCCGCCCTCAGCGCGCTCCAGCCGCCCTGAAGGATGTCGCAGGAGCCAGCTCCGTTGGGGCTCCGACAGTGGGCCTGGGCCAGGGTACTGTGCGCAGGCGCGCCGCTGTGGCATCAGCGGCGGGTGTGGGGCCGAGTGCATCAGAGTCCGATTGACGCGAGATGGCCCTCACACCGCGTGTTGATCTCGACGCCCGATGGTGACGTCTATGCGGAGCTGTACGATCTGACGGACGGGAGCCTGGCTGCCGTGCGGTTCGAGGACGACCGCCGCACTAGGCCACCTGGTCTTGGCGCGGGTGGGCTCTACCGCTTCCGTCGGGCGTTAACGGTGGCTGAGGAAACGGCGATCCAGGCGGAGTTGGAAGGCTACGCTCAGGACGTCTACCTCGCTACTGAGCGTGCTGCAGGTCGCCCCGCTTTGGTGCCGCCGGTTGGCGCGATGGTCTACTTCACCTTCGGAGGCGCCCCCGCTGTCGGAGGCGCCGCCGCGCCTGGTGGAGGACCGGCTTGCCCGCCCGCCGCGGGTGCCCCTGTCGCCGCAGCTCAGGTGGCAGTGCCCGCTCCCGGGCCGCCTGGGGCAGCGGCTCCCGCACCCGTGACGCTTCTTGGGCCCGCTGGACCTGTGGTCAGCTTGGCCGCTGACGCTCCTGGAGGGGCGGCGCCGCTGGCCGCTGGTGCAGTCCCTGGGCCTGATGGGCAGTGGGTGTACATCGAGATGACCACTGCCGCCGCTCGCGGCGACGCGGCCGTCCTGGACGGCTCGGAGGTGGCGCGCGGGGACATTGGCCTGAAGCAGGCGGCCGACGGCAGTTGGACTGCGATACGGAGGATCACCTCTTCGCAGGTGGCGTTCCGGGGGGGGCGAGGCTGCGTCAGACGTTTGCCTCCAGCCGGTGCTGCTGCTTGCCGACGGCTCGCGGCAGCGCGTGCAGTTCCACGAGAGTGTCGATCGTCTTCGAGAGGGGCCGTTCCCAGCCTGGCCGCTCGACGGCCCTCGGACTACGCTGTGATGTCTTCGCTTCCTGGGCCGCGAGCGCGGTGGCGCCATCGAGCTCTTCCATCAGTTCGTCTCGTGCTATAGGCTGTCGCGAGGTGACTTCGGAGTCGCGCGCTACGAGTCGATCGTGCGCATGGTGGACTACCTGATGGCACGGGGCCTCCTCGACCCGCCGAATGTGGTCGGGGTCGGGGTCATGGTGCGGCAGTTTCAGTTTTATGAGCACATGTACGCCGTGGGGTACGAGTCGAGAGACGCCGGCGGTGGGCTCCCAGCCGCTGGCGACGGGAAGGCGAAGGCAAAGGCCAAGACCAAGCCGAAGCCTCGAAGTGGCGGGGGCCTCCTGAAATTCGGGTTCGTCGACGAGGTTGGAGTCTTCACTGGCGCTGCCCGCGAGGATGGCCGAGTGATGGTCGCGCCTGCTCTCCTGGAGCATGTGGCCAAACAACTAGAGCGCGACGCTGGGATCCCTAAGCAGATGCGGAAAGCTAATGAGGATCGTCGCGCTCTGGCGCCATGATGAACGGGGGCCCGGAGGCGGCCGCCCCGCCTGCCTTTGGGGGCGATCGTGGGGGCGCCGCGGTTTCGCCCACCCGCGGTGCAGATGTATTTTATATATATATATATATATATATATATATATATATATATATATTTATATATATATAGATAATATATATATATAGATATATATATATATATATATATATATATATATATATATATAAAAAGAACATATATAATGAAACAAGTTTTGGTTCACGTCTTGTCCCTGGCGCATCGGATCGCAGTTCTGCGGCTTCAGACTTCTCTCCGACAACGGAGAGGCGACACCTTCGAGCCAGCCTTCGCCAATCGAGGGTGTCGGACGCCATCGGTGCTGTGAACGAGGCGCACACTGGCTCGAACTGTCCACGGCCGACGGGGTTGATCCAGGAGGCGGTCGACGCCTTCGGAGCGCCCCCGCTCGATCTCGCACCCGCGGGGGCCCTCGAGGAGCTCCGCGTCGCGCAGTCGCGCGACCAGGGGTCCGCCGTGAGTGCGCCGGTAACTTTCGACCGAGTCGATCTGATCTCCCTGCCGAAGGTAGGCTCCGTGCCAGCTCTCATCGGGGGCGACGTCGTGAGCATTGGTCGCCGCCATGAAGAACTACTTCTGCCCCGCGAGCGAGGGCTCGTCAGGGTTGCAGAGCGCGCCCCGAAGCGGGCGCATTCGCGCCCCAACCTCAGGGGCCCTCGCCTGCACAAGAAAATGTTGCTGCACCTCTTGTCGTTTAATCTTATCGAGTGTCGCGCAGAAGCCTTGAGTGAGGCGGCGGCGTTCTTTGTGCATGAGAAGTCTGGTGCCTTGCGATTGATTCTCGACGGGGGGATTCCCCTTCAGTTGTTCGACGATCCTCCGAAGGTGAGACTTGCCACTGGGGCCCCGTTCTCGCAGCTCAGAGTTGACAGTTCGCGGCCTGTGTGTGTCGCGGGCGTGGGCTTTGCGGGTGCGTTCTACACTCAGCTGTTGCCGCCGCGGCTTCGTCGGTACTCTGGCCCCCCTCGCATCCGTGCAGGAGAGTTGAATGCTTCAGTCACTGGGCCCCCTTGCTTCAGATGCCCTCCGGTGGAATTCAGCCTTAGTCTCTGGTTGCGCCAGTCGGTGAATGTGATTGTCTCTCGTCGCGCAGCTATCGTTACTCTTGATCGGGCGTTGGCGGATCGTGCTCCCGCTTCGGCCATCGACAATGGCGTTGTTCACGCCGAGTATGTTGACAATTTCGTTGGGCCATCGCTGTCTTGTGGAGTCTGCTGCCGCTGATGCCGCTCAGGTCGATGGGCGCGCGCGCGCAGTCGGACTCCCCACCCGCGGGGTGGGGCGCGGCGACGAAGGGGGGGCTCTGGGCTGGGCCTTCGATCAGGACTCGCCTGTGATCTCGCTCAACCCCAGGCTTCGGTGGAAGTTGTACCTTGGCATCCAGGAGATACTTCGTCGTGGGCATTGCTCTGGGAAGGGGGTGGTTCGGATCGTCTCGCATTTCGCCTCCAGGGTCCTCGTCAGGAGGGAGCTCCTCTCGCGTCTCGGGGCTGTCTATCAGTTTGGGGAGGTGTGCAAGGGCCGCGCCGCCCGATTATGGCCAGTCGTGCGTCGTGAACTTCGGTGGGCCCGTGCGCTCCTTGTCTTCTGCAGCAGGAACCTCGGGCCACCCTTCGACGCCGCTCTCGCGCGCATAGATGCGTCGCCCCGGGGCTTCGGGGTCGCTTAGAGTTGGTAGTTCAGGTCGGGCCTCCCCCCAAGGTCTGGGGTTGATGGGGTTCTGATGGGGTTCTGATGGGGCCCCTGGGGTTGCCCCTTCGGTCGATCGCCAGAGGCTGCGAGATTCTTGGGTTCTTGGGGTCAGGGTTCGAAGGGGTGCGCCTCGGCCCGAGAAAAGTTAGATCGCCGCAGTTCCCCCCCCCCCCCCTTGTTGAACATCCATATTTTATCATGCCTCACATGCGCGTTGCATGCAACACTTGTCTGTCTTCCATTGCATGCAGCATCGCGTTGCACGCGGCATTGCGTTGCATGCGCGAATTGCACGCAGCATCTCACGCGGCAACAGCGCAGGGCTCGCATGGGCGGTCCCCGAGCGTATGTTCGATGAGGTCACCCCCTAGCGCCCGAGGGATGACTCTCCCCCCCTTTTCCCTGCAGGGGTCCACGGGCCCTAGTGCAAAACCGCCCAATCGTGAAGCTATAGGTAGGCGGGCTCTAGAGCGTAGGTTTGATGAGATCTACCCCCCACCGCCCGAGGGGGGGATTTTTTTCTGCGCCCCCCTGCAAGGGCCCGCGGGCCCTAGGAAAACATCGCCCCAGGGGGACTTCTAGCCGAGCTCCGCCCTCTGTCCCTTCATTTGTTCTAACTTGTAACATTCTGATTCAAGGCATGTTGCCTTTTCTGGCATGTCCAACGATTGCACGTCGGACGAAGACTTCTGTGCCAAGTCTTCGAGTGGCCCCTCTGGCGATCAGGATTTTCTAGCGGATGCCGAGGTCGCCCCCCGCGTCGCCGAGCCAGGGGGCGACGGGGATTTCTTCGCCTGCAGCAGCTGTGGAGTAGCATTGCAATCCTATTGTCTTTCCCCCTCTTGGCCTCGTGCTCCTCTTCCCCCTGCTGCTGCCTCCATGCTTGCATCCATGGCAATTTCGGCACGGAGGGCCCTTGAGTCGCGTGGCACGCTGCGCACAGAAACAGGTTGCACATCTTCATGTTGCATAGCATTGTTTCGACAGTTGGCACCGGAGCGTGAGTTGACAGATCCACGGCATGTCTCGCAGTGCATCCCCTGGAGCGCGCGATGGCCTCTCAGAAGAGATTCGTCAGCAGATCGCTGCTGCCGTTGGAGCGGCGGTGGCGGAAGCAATGAGGACTGGAGTGCCGGGTTCGGCGCCCGGTCCCGAGGCAACGAGGACTGGAGTGCCGAGTTCGGAGCCCGGTCCCGAGGAGACGCGCGCAGGTTGGTGGGGGCGGCAGTGCGGCCGCTGGGAGCGGCGAGGCGAGGAGTGGGCCTTGGCAGAAGCCTTGGAGCCGCCCTCGCGCCAAGCCGGCCACCGACCTGACACCCAGAGCCGCTGCGTGGACAAGGGGCCACCTCCGGCCTGGGACGGGCTACGCCCAGAACAGACCTGGAGGACGCACCGACGTTCTTTGGACCACTGGCTGCAGAACACGGACATCCCAGCAACGAAGCATGGGATTTTACTTTGGAAAGTTTTGTCTGGTGATGCTCATTTGATGATCAATCACCTCACAGACGAACAGCTGCAAGATCCAGGGGCCGGAAAGACAATCCGGAATATCTTGGACCAAGCTCACAGGCACATCTCTGAGTTTGAAGATCAGGACGACTTCGACACATCAGTGTACGGTCTTCACAGGGAACGCAACCAGAGCTTGATGCAGTTCGCCAACATCGCCCGGTCTGCTTTTCTTAAGGCAGATTCCCACGGCGATCCGTTGCCAGACCGCCGGAAGGGCATGATCTTCCTGAGGCTTGCCAAGATCCCTGGGCACTTAGAGGATCACATCATGTCCAAAACCGGTGGCTCCCGGAGGTTCACAGACCTCTTGGATGCGATCCGGGTGCTGTCCCGCAGGCCGACGGCTTCGCAGGCGGGGACTTTCCTGGACGTGGACGAGCAGTGCGACTCCGGGGAGGAGCAGGAGGGTGACGAGGCTTTCGTTGACTACGACAGCGAAGGCGGCGAACTCATCCCCCTAGACGACAGCGACCTGCAGGGCGAGTACGAAGAGGACGATGTCCAGTGGGCGTTGTCTCAGTTTCGCCAGGCCCGCGACGCTGCCCGGAAGGGCAAACCCCAGGGCTACCGGCAGATCCGCCAGAATCTGCAGCAGAGCCGGATCGCCCGCGGGTGGTCCAGCGGCTCCGGAAGCAGCTCGCAGGGCGGGTCGCGGCAGGCTCACGGGCGACCGCCCAAGGGCCGCGGCAAGGGCAGCGAGACCCCGCCGCCGCCGCGCCCGCACCCGGCGCCCCGGCTGCAGCAGGGCGCCCGGCTGAAGCCGGTCTCTGCCCTCGAGGCGCGCACGCGCTGCAAGGCTTGCCACCAGCTTGGGCATTGGTCGTACCGGTGCCCGAACCAGTCGCAGCAAAGGGAGGAGGCAGGGGCCGGGACGGCACTTGTCTCATCCACCGAACCAGAGTCGTTCTTTTGCGGCGTGGTTGCTTCCTCGGTTCCAGAGGGCCGCAAGGGGGATCGCAGTGCTGAGCTCGGCGCGCGGTCTCCTTAGCAGGAGAGCCCCGCCTGGGGCGACGAGGAGAGCGACGGCCACAAGGAGGACCGCAGTGCTGAGCTCAGCGCGCGGTCTCCTGAACAGGAGAAACA